GAGAACTCCACTGGATGACACCACATACTCTAACTATTTGGGTGTAGTGTTCTCTTTTACCGTCTTATGCAAATCGCTTTTTCTCCGCCTTACACACGTATATTGGTTAGCTTAGTTTAAAAGTGTGTTTTTTTTAAGTTCATTTCGAACCATCTGATCTTAGATCTACTTGTCTAATCTTGTTTATTTGAAAATACTGAAAACAAAATAAAGCGATGAGGAGAGCAAATTCATGACAGATGTCCCATGAGATAATATTAAAAAATTAGAAGGAAAATAGAATATCTATCCTATTAGTATGAACATTATTTGATGAAGGGGAATATAATTTTTTCTTAAACCCGAAAGACTTTGACCTGCCAAAGGTGACGTGATCACTCTAAATTTCCTAAAAATTGACAATTCGTTCCGCCTGACACTTTTAATGTGTCGTTCATCCATGCATAAATAAGCGAAATGGTTCGTGAAAATATTAAATTCAATTCTTAATGGAAAATTATGTACGTTCTGTTGTTTGTAAGATACTTTTCAATGAATTTTTTCTTTCAAATCGTGAATATTATAGACAGAAAAACAGAAAGCTCAGCAAAGATACTGTTTCAGAGATTTCATCCTCAGAAGCTGTGCAATCATAGTTTCATGCTATGTCGTAAATTCACCGGTCATTGGATCAGGTCCCAGTGGCTTAATGGTCTACTAGCCAGCTTGCCTTGTAGCCAGAAAGTCTTGGGTTCACACCCCGCTGTGTGGGTGCGTACCATTGAAGAGCCCTAAACTCGTGGGACGAAACAGTTGTCCACTAGTCCCCGTTGGTTTTCCAATGGTTTTCTAACCGATGTCAGCTCATGATGAAATCCTCCAACCACTTAATCAAGCAAAATCCCTACAAAACCAATGCTTGAAAATTAGGTTTAAATAGCTGCAATGATCATTTAAATCGATATAGTGGAGAAGGGGTTTAAGGGAGGATAATCATTTTCAAGCTGATAGGAAAATTTGAAGGTATGAATATAGATCACACAATTACATAGGATTAGAAAATAGTTGAGTAATATGCAAAATAGTTTTCAAAAAAGACAGATGTGAACAGAATATATGCACAGGAACAAATTGAAATAATAACGAAAAAACGAAGAAACTGGAAAAAACAAAGCAAACGAAAACTAAGGAGTCAAACCAAACTAGATCCATGACGAATGTAAAGGTTGGGCTAGTTCTCTCTGAGCATATGGGTCCGAATTTTCGATGCATATGATGACGGCGTCCGCAGTACAAACTTTGCAAATAGCTCTGAAGGGTGAGTCAGTTGAGATGCTGTGATAGGTGTTGAAAGGGTGGCTGATTGAACTAATGACTCCTCTTTGCAGCCGTGCTGGGTGACATTCTCTAACACGTTTTAAAAAGACACGCATAGAACGTACCATGTACCTAGCCCCACAGCAGTAGGTGAATTGATATGTGCATGTTAGAGTGATCATATAAGGAAGTTTATCCTCCGCAGTGTATAGAAGCACTAGGTTGCTAAAGAACATCACTCTTACCGTTGCTACAGGTAGTGTTTTCTTCAGAGAACTAGAGATTCCCCTCTTTAGGATATCTGCCACTAAGTCTTCCCTGAAGTCCAGCTTAAAATAGTTTTCTCGTTGGTGCTGAAATGCATTCTTCTCTGTTCGGCTTTGGTTTCATTTTCGTCTCCACGAAATGTTCCGGGTATCCATTTTGAGTCAAGATAGTCTTGAGTAATAAGAGCTCTTCTTCTAAACAGTCAATGCTGCAAATTCTTGATACAATGGACCAATGAAATGACGAAGGGTCTTTCACAGCTCACCGGTATCCATCTATTTAAAATCGGTTAGTTGCTCATTCCGTTGTGGTTTTGTGTCTTATACATTTTATCAGAGTCTCACCACCTCTTCTTGTCAATTCTACATTCAGAAATGGAATCTTTGATTCATTTTCTAATTCCATTGTGAATTTAATTGAAGGATAGCAATTATTAAAACTTTCGTAAAATACAATTTAAATCATAATCATTATGACAAATTGCAAAAGTGTTGTCGACATGCTTTGTGTACAGCAGTAATTTATCGATTTTTGATTTTACAATTCCTATTTTGATACATTGGCCACGAAGCAGTCTGTCAAAGGCGGGTCAAGAGGAGAACCCAAGGCAATTCTACCTTTCAACCAGTAGACATCGTTGTTCTCGGAGGGTTTGAAAAAAGACTGAAGAACGACTATCTGATAAGTGAAGACCTTTTGAACGCTTATGACCGAAATGATCAATCATTCCCCGACTTCATGCTCTACCAAAGGTGCACAAACCTGGTTTGACCAGGATATGTCAGGGTCACTCTACTATCCAACCGCTAAATGGTTGTCCAAAATGTTAAAGCCTAAAAGGTAACAAGCACTCTTTTCGAGATACTTTGCAATATTCATTTGGTTGTGTTCTTCTAGACAACATTTTCAGCGCAAGCTTTAATTTGAAGTGAAAGACAACGAAAGCCTCACAATTAAAACACCCAACCCAGAGAACACAACCAAACCAAATTCATCCACCTGAGCTAAAAAAACTACTCCATTACTTAGAATTTATTAATTATATAAAAGATTTGAATGTAACTGGCAAACGTATGTTATTAATGGACGTAGAGTCATGGGTGAGCACTCCTGAAGAGTCCCAAACTAGGACGGAACTGTTGTCCAGTGCTATCTCGTTTCCAGTAGTTTTTCCAGGTGATGTTGGTTCGTGGCGAAATCCAACAAATGAGATGAATGTAGTGCTATTTATTGGATGGTGACTAACATTTCGTCCTATTTGGGACTCACCAACTGAATGTAACTGCTATCAACAGTGGGTGATGGTGTCCGCACTCGGACTCTAACCGAGTACCCATCGTTCCGATCAATGACAACGGATACGCGTTCTGAAAGCGCTGATTGTCTTAGCACAGTGACCTAAGAATTAATGCACCTATCACTAAATATCTTGACTAGCTATCCGCTAGGCTACAGAAAATCCAGGCACATTCAATTGACCAGTCCCAAGTGCATCCTGGATTCCACTGACAGACATCATCCACTAGAACATGCTATTCAGTAGAGAAGTCAGAGAATCTATTATCAATCTATATACTACAATTGTAGATCCAGTTGCTCAGAGTTTATATTCCGTTATTTGAGTGTGAACACATTTTATGTAATCTAGTGAATTGTTTATAATGCACCCAAATATTTACTGAAATGTATACATGCTTACATTTCAGTGTTATGTATGATGATGATTTCATATACGCTTGAAAAATAGTCGAACGTCTGTATCTGATTTAATTAGGTTCTTATATATGTATACACCAAAGTTTCACACGAAAAGGGATCTCAAGAACTACAGGAAATACGTCAACGACGTATTCACATCATATTATTTCACTGAGAAAACAGTTAAAAAGAATTTATTACTATTGTTCCCTTGGGTTCTGCGTGGAACACAGGACCTCAACAGCACTTTGCCTTATTTTCTGGGGTCTTTTCCAGTTGGCCCCACGACTGCTCACAGTCTCTCATCTCCCCCCTCGCACGATATCTCCCATATCGCCCAACTTGTCGTTTCCCACTCGGGTCTACACTGCACGCGATGTCAGCCGACGCTCTCCTCAGTGTGTCCGACCCACCTCCATTTTCTTCTACATGTTTGTTGAGCACTCGGGAGTTCTTGTTTGTTTCGTCCCCAGAGCTTCTTGTTGCTGGTTCTTTCTTTCTGGCCATCTGATCTTCAGTATGGAGCCAGAGAAGGCAGCTGTTGATGACAGTCTGAGGTATAGCCTGTTGGGAATTCTCCTCACGACGCACATCGAAAGTCTCTGAAGCCCACAGAAGTACTGACTCACCTAACAGTGTTGTTGAAAATCCGAATTTTATTGTTTGTGGTGCGTGCAGTAGATTTACGAACTGATTCGAGAGTGATGATTGCCTGTCTTGCCTTTTTGATTCTGGTTTTGACACCATCGTCATCCGTCCCACCTGTGTAGTTGAACTAATGATGTCTAGATGATAAGTGAAGGAAGTGACCTTTCTCAAATGTATCCCCTTGGATGTAAGTTTTTCAATAATATGAAAAGGATCAAAACAGATTATTTTACATGTTACAATCATAATTGACTGGCTGATTTCAACACAGAACTGCAGCAGTTCGAGTTATCATACTGTCATAGTTAGTAGGTGTCCAAAAATCCAATTGTGAATACAAAAAATAAGTGACAAATACTCCCCAGAATGATGTGCATTAGTTGTCGGCAAGACCGTACTTATTTTAAAAACGTAGATTTCAAAATATTACAGGAGCAAGAGAATATACCCATATTATTACTAAAATACGAACTCGGCACATTACGGGCACCAACAGATGTGCCACACAAAGTTTCTGCGGAGTTTGGGAAACTGCCAGAGCGCCCAAACCAAAGTGGATGGATGCCTTTAGGGACCATCATCCCTCAAGTCTTTCACTTGACGTCTGATCCACAAGGCAGTGTCAGGAGCTACGTTCCCAGTGACCAAACCACATTTGTGCACCATTTGATCCTTTCGGATTCTGGAGACTCTGGAATCAGGGTTTTCCAACCCCTAAGTAGACCTGCATGTCTACCAATCTGGCTGTAAGAGCTTCAGACATTACTATTGGCCCCTTCACTTTTGCGAAGAACACCCCAGCCGTGTGAAGGCAGTGAACAGGACTTACCTGGAAGAGACTTTAACGTGTGACCACATAAGAGCAATTCTACAGGAAGACTGAAATCTATCCACCCCCCCTCGGTCATACTATGCACACACCAGCTCACTTGTTTATGTGAAGATGGGTATATTGATCGTACTATCATGCATCCGCGCATGTCGAACGTGTTCACGCGCCCTACCCAGACCGGCTAGCAATGGTTGAATGGAAGTGTATCTTTACTTCGACAACAAAATACTTTGTGGACAACTCAGGACACTCACCTCTTTCATAGCCTTACACAAGATTTCATTAAACATCTCACACATACACACACACAAAGAGAGACAGAGACAGTGAGGTCAAGGTATCTGAGTATAGCTCAAGTATTATCAACTCAATAAATCTAGCGATAATTAAAGTATGCTTTTAATTGGTTCTCCACAAAGTAACATTCACATCAGCATAAAATATAGCTTTTTTTCTAATAATCGAAATTTCATTTATGTATATATCACATCAAGTGTGAATAATAAAGAGCATCAAAGAGGAAAATCATTTTATAATCAGATGTCAGTAATGCTCTTTAAAAAGAAAAAAGCCAAGAAATAAACTTTAGAAAAAAAATAAAAAGTAATGGAACAAGAAAATAATAATAATAATAACCAGAGAACAAGACCAAAGCAAAAATAAACTTATATATATCGGTACGAGCACAATTATAAGTGTCTATGTAAGTCAAGTTTCTCGTGTATGTATATATATCAACAATTATTCATCATGATTTCATGAAAAGAGCTACACTGTCATATATAATAAATTCACAAAGTCTGTAAGAATTTATCTGTCACACACAGATATCATTAGACTAACAAGAAGGATTAGTATCTTTTGGTGCATTCTGGGTTTGAGTAGCATTCTTGTCGACTGTTGTTGATGTTGTTGTTGTTATTACTGTTGTTGCTGATGGATCAGTAACAGTTGTATTAACAACACTGCCAACATTATTCACATTAGTAGTAGTAGTAGTAGTAGTATTGGTAGTAATGGCAGTATTGGCAGCAGTCGTTCTAGCTGTAACACCATTGGGATCCGTGGTAGTTGTTGTACTATTGTTCATATTCATATTAGAAGAATAATAAGGTGGAGGAGCATAGGCATTTGCAGGAATTTTCAGTATATCCTATAGGTGAAAAAATAAATAAATATCACTACATTATTCAATTGAATTTTAGATTTTCACGTCGATTGATTAGACCGAAGTGCTCAGTCTCAGGTTGACACGTCGGCTTCTTGTGCAGATGCTTCGACGATGTCTGGGCATGTAATTTATTTTTTTTTACTTTATGTTTTTTTTATTATAGCTTGAAACCACACAGTATTTTCGGTACAAGTATGGAATTTTCAGCATGCGATATCCGTAGCCCAAATTTTGCAGGCCGACCATAGATATCGGGTGTGCGTCGGCAGGGGATCGAACCCCGGACCATGTGCATAGTCGGCGAGAGTCCTAACCACTGTGCAACCAACGCATTGGTGGATGGTGACTAGTAGTGGAATCCAGGATGCACCTTTTGTCCTATTTTGGACTCGTCACTGGGTGTAACTGCATTCCGCAGTGGCCGAAGTGGTCTAGTGGATAACTCTCTGGCTTTGGAAACTATGGGCAGTGGGTTCGAGCCTCGGTAGGAAAATCATCACTCACCGGGGAATGCAGGCACGTCCAGATGACGAGTCCCAAATAGGACAAAAGGTGCATCCTGGATTCCACTTCTAGTCACCATCCACTAATTAAATATCACTACACTTGAACAGTAAGTAATAACTAAAAACAGATTTGCAAAACACTAACAATTACGTTAACGTTGTAAGGGAATATAACAATTTTACCGTAGTCACAAACTGAAAAATCTAGAGAAACATGCAAAAACAAACAGCAATAAATGAATGCTCCACTTTAAATAAAGTATAATTATATTTTCAATAGTTTACACACAATGATAAGTTTTGTTATTGGTAATATTTCGAGCAAAATTACTGCCCGTGTTCACACCACTGTTGGAATTGTTTTGCTCGAAATATTACCAATAACAAAACTTATCATTGTGAGTAAATTATAGAAATATAATTATACTTTATTTGATCTATTCCACAATGCTCAAACTTTTTACTGACATTAAATGCTCCACTATAGTTTGGAACTTTTCAACTCTCCATCCAGTCACAGTATTATACTGTCCAAAAGAAGCTTATCTCCGTTTACAAGGTATGCACTAGAACAAAACACTTAGCCACTGCTTCTTGGCTCCTGAGTTATTTATATCGTGATCGATGTCCAGTTCAGAAATGAACTAACGTAAGACAAAGTCAATATCTTGTTGATGATGATTACAGACTAACCGACATATCCTTGGTGATATTTTGAATCAGAAAATATTGTGTAAAATATGCACTTTGCAGCTCAAGTCGTTGTTTGTTCTCGGTTAAATAGTGCAGGCTGGGGAAACAGGCAGCTGTCGTAATCAAGTCATATTTGTGATCAGCGCGTGTGTACAGCTCGGTGTCCCCTATTTCAGTCTTGCTGCGAAAGACGACAGTCATTTACCTGATATGTACAGTAATCACAGCAAAATTGATACCAAAAGAGAATATAGGGTATTCATCAAGTGATCAAAAAACAATTCAATCTCCAACTTTCCAAAATGATCACTTACCTCATATTTTGGTAAATCATTCGATGGATCGTATGTAACAGGTTCATTGTGTCCACCTGTATTAGACTCATTAGCTGAAGGTGAATTACCCGCCGAATTGTTATTTCGAGTACGTCCAGCACGAAGTAAACTCCAGAAAGTTGATAAATTACCCCACTGATCAGTATACCAGTCATCTAGTACATTACTTCTTCGATTCAGCATCAAATATTTGTAACAATCCCATACCATGCCAAGACAATAGGCCTTAAAGGCTAACATTACGCATGAGATGGCCAGTATAACGAAGGTTAGACTTGTAGACTTAATGTAAACAGGTCCAGTCTACAGAATAAAACGAAACCGGGAAAATACTTCCGCTATACATACATAACAGCAATTTACATTTAAATACTATCTGCACGTAATTAAAGCTCAGTTTATTATATAGTCCTACTGTTGTCGCCTCAAAACAAAGACATTTCAGTATATGAATTCGATTGACTGACTGGTTTCAACGAAGAAATTTGCAAGGTACAGAAGTTCGAGTTGACACATTCCATAAAGCACACAAAGGAAAACAAAAGAGAAAGAGATTCGAAAGAACAGTAATAAGCAGAAATGTGACGAAGACAGAATGGCAATACAGAAAAACAATAGGATTTAATGAATATGGCATATCACAGACAGTGAATGTATCTGCGTCCCTGAGAACCATTTCGAGCTATATCATCAATTGTCTCCAACCATTAGTTCTTAGAATTCTTACAACCCTTACCATGTAGTCTACACCTCGCTATGTGGCTGGCTCAAACTATCAAAGATTTCATGGACTTCTGTCACCTTTTTGTTTGACCATCACTAGCTACTTTCCAACCTCATCAATCCTATGTCAGCCAACACTGCTCATCGAGGAAGGAGATGACTAGGCATACACCTTCCTGATCTAACAATCGACGACTAACCTCAATATTTTTCACCCTATTATACCACCTAACACGAGAGATAGGATGCACGCACCTATGATCAAAGACACCTAGCCTTTTTATGTCTTCTAATTTCAATGGCCATGTCTCACAGCCAGCCATGAAGGACGATGGAGCCGACTGATGAGGAGTACACACATCCTTTCATCGATAGCTGGATATCCCATCTACGCTAGAGATGACGTAAGTTGGAGAAGCCACATGAGCTTCCTGTGTCCATGCTCAGATTTCGTCAGCGATCAGCCTGTTGGGGATGATGTAACTTCGTGGATAAGTGAAGTGGTTAAATACGCTCCATCTCTTCACTCCCTATCTTTAAGCTAAGAGTCGATGTTGTTCAGTCCTGTAGTATCGTCTTACATTTGACGGGAGAAAATCGCATGCCAAACATTCGAAGATTGCTGCTCAAGGTGTTCAGACGACTCTGTATTTTATAAGTGTTTTCACCTAGGAGGACTATATATGAATGAATATGCACAGAATATCAAAATGAAAAAGTCGAAGAGACATAGAGGAAGGAATCCTTTCAGAATCCAAAGAAACATAAGAACGTCCACAACGATTTGCTCAATCACAATAGGATACATCGGATAGCTGCATAAAAGCTAGTTTCAACAAATGGCAATGCGATTGCACTGCTCGGTATTCATTTTATCTACTTAGTTATGGGGTATACTTACTATATGGTGGTTCAATGTGTTGTGACCGGTAAGGCAAAAGTAAGACCCATTTTGAACAGGTCAAGTGCTTAAGTATAAGTAAAAATGATGCCATACAATATTACGATTTCAAACCCATCAATACAATGAGAACAGTTTATCAACTGAACCTTACTTTCATCAGAGCTCCAAGATAAATTGGATGGCATCTTGATAATCTTAGCTGTTGGGGAAGTTAACTAAGTATATATAGACTTATGACCTCATTTACTGTGACTACATTTCCTCCACTTTAGATAGGTAAACATCAATCTAGGCCGTGGTCTTACTGAGTAGCGATGTAAACTGCCGCGCCTAATTAGTCTGATGATTACATGATTTCACCATATATTTCCAAAACACAGATGGACTCTTGCAACCTTATATGTCTCACCACCACGAACAATTACCTTTTCTGACTAACTTCCCTGTCTAGGAATTGAAGAGGTGTTTAAAATGATACTAACCTATATAATACAAAAGATGGCATCACAGAATGGAGAATTTACTATGCATGACGCTATATATGATATGCAAATGGCTATCATGATAAAATGTAAGTGCAAAGAAATCCAACAACTTAGTGACTTAAACTAGGTGGCTGACAATTCCGGGATTGATATGCTCACATTTGGCGGTGATCCAGAGCATCTTCGTAATGCGTAGTGACTCGTAGTTCTTTCTTGTTTGTGACACACCAAAATCCATGCCATCTAATCAAAATGAATAACTGGAAATATTTAACTATTTCAAACTCGAGACAAAATTACACCGGTTAAAATCTACCTTTTATAACCTTTTCCTATAACTGGTGGTAAAAATGCTCTTATACTTCTATGTTAATTAGGCTTTCCAAGAAAATGTCTTTTTCATGTTAATCAATTAAAGGATTAAGCATTTTCACAGAAACTTAAAATGTACCCTCCTAAATTTGAAAGTTACATGTGACATTTAAAAATATTAATTCCAATTAACATACTTTTGTGTGAATCATTAGACGTAGATCTGATGCCGATGACATAAATCCAAGTATATGAATCAAACAAATTATAAGATCGAAGACTTGAATGAAGAAAAATGGTAGCAAGTGAGTTGGCTGTCGCGTGACTGCTCCATGAACCATAAAACAACAAAATGCCAATGAGAAAGCTGTTACGCAAATGGCAATATATGGACTAAAATGCCGTATCTTTATTTCATGAGCCGCACGATCTTGTTTGTGAGTTTCAAATGAAAGTCTTGGAGGCATGCTGTTGACATCGACAACGACACCGTCCTTATAGCCTGGGATATCATCCATAAAATTAGAATCAGGGTCCAGATTTTGACTGATAGCAACCTTCTTTTCATCTGGATTTTGAGCCCCAGGAGATGGTAATGTTAATGATTCGTGGATATCAGAAACAGCAGGAACCAGACGGAACAATGCTGAGAAAATGTAGAAACCTGCAGTTAGGAAGGAAAAGCCAAAACAAAAGTGTTTTATCAAATCGATGCATTGAAACAAATCCACAGTCTTCCAATATCTCGTCTTGAAGACAGAAGTTCCTGGCAAACCTTTCAATGTTTCGATAGCTTTATGCAAAAGCATCCGCATAAAGTGAAGGAAGACAATAGCCTGTTACCGTTATTCATGAGAAGAAATAAGACTAGGAAGAGTTGTCTATTCTCGCTATTCATCCTCCACTTGATCACGGAAAAATCTGAAGATGTAGAGTACTGATGCACATTTACCATCCGGACAAAAACTATACGTCTTGTGTGAAGCTTATACGCTATTCATAAAGCCTTTAGTGACCAGTCTGTGAATTTCCATTACGGGTAAATTTTGTTTTCATAAAGTCTCACAGTGTTATACAGTAATGTTTACTGATGAATGAATGATAAATGAATTTAGGAAGTCGTGTGATTACCTTGATATGATTATGAGCAATAAATTGTGCTCGAAACGTCATCAGTAAACATTACTGTATAACACTGTGAGACTTTATCAAAACAAAATTTACCGATAATGGAATTACACTCTACCACAGTGCACAGGTTTTAATCTTATAAGTCTGTGAATTTAGTCTTCTGCACGATTACAACGTAAAACGCTTATAAAAGACAGTTTATGTCTGCACTGTGACAAGTGGACTTCTAAAAGTTAAGGATCAAATTTACCCTGAGAACTGTGTAAAGAGGGAAGCGAGATGGGGGGCTTGTACAATTAGGCTACCTTCGAGACTATTGCAATGTTAGGCTGGTCGTCAAAAGCCAAGTTAACAACACATTAAAATTGATCTAATCAAACTGTGTAGACACTTCCACCATTGTACGACTGCTTTAATCCAGTGGGGGAACTTGATCTAAAGCCTGTTTCTTAGGTGGTATCCCTCAACACTTACCCAGCTCAGATAAGCTGTATGGTGCATCTTTTGATACCCATACTGTAACAATTTTGTGCCTTAATAACAGTAGTAAACTGAAGTGTGTTATGGTTTTCATACTACTTGTTTACTATTTCTGGAAGTGTATGGAAGACGCGAAGAAGTGATCAACGTTAGTTTGCCTAAGGGTCGAGTTTGAGATACTTTGGTTGACATGCTCAGGACATGATTTGATTTGGCTACTAACCGACTATGCCTCAATCGCCAAAGGTGAACCATCATAGCCAAAGTCGCAATGACTTTGAACCACTAGTCAGAGTTCAGATACAAATAAAGTCCTATAGTCATTGAAAAATGCAGTAAAAAAAAACACCGCAAACATGATATTACACTACATAATTGTCGCGTATGTTGCAAGAATCTCTCAATTAATACACAGGTGATCCATAGAGAAATCATACCATACGCGATAGACGCCTTCATTCAAGTGACTGTAGGTTATGGTACTTTGGGATCTATTGGTATTTCTGAGGCTGTCCATCAACCTACTCCTAACTCCAACCATAATCCTAACTTCAACCTCAATTCTAACCTTAACTCTAGACCCTAACCTTTAATCTTAAAAACCATAACCCTATTTAACAGTGTAGGTTTGTAGAGGAAGTACCTAGAGAATAAGTAGAGTACAGTGTCTATTCTCTCCAAGTCCAGAAAGGCAGACATGATTTGATTTGGATTTACCTTTGAGTCCCTTGCATATGACTGGTTCCTGTAGGTCAACTTTTAAAACCTTGACTGTGGCTACGATACTTCAGCTTCGCCCCTCAATCTTCATTCATCCAAAGAAGTACACAGTAAAGCACATCCTTATAGATGGACTTACTACAAATTCCTAGCTGGTCACTCTACTTTTCACTTTTTCCTGATGTTTTTATCATATTTTGCATTGCTTTGCACCTTGATTTGCACTGCGATCCAACCTACTAGCTACACATTGGGGAAGATATCCCTAGTCTAAAGTGTCTGATATTCACACGACTGTGGGGATTATTGCTTCAAAAACTTTAGTGAGGTAGCCCTGTATCTTTCACAAAAGAACAGACGTATTTACTTCTTGTCATCTGCCATATCCTGGAAATGTCCACCAGTTTTTATTCAGTTATTCATACTCTCATACATTCTCATTCGTAGTAGTTTCACTACATTCCTTTTTATTAGTGTGCACCTTCTAAATATGACCGTTTGAAGTGCTGCACATTGTAGAATTCTACGCTGATAAATCAGCTGCTGATAAACATAAAGACTGATGTTTTGGAGAGCATGTGACACTTCGTTAAATTCGGATGTCGCATCAGTCATAGTGGGTTGGAGGTTACGGAAAATCCGACATAGGCACGGTTTTTCTTATTCATACCGAAATATTTATGGCTGAGTTTATGGGATGGTAGATGGAAAACAGTGAAAGGTTAGAAAGACGTCTTAGCGGTTGTTCAAGCCATAATGATGCTGCTAATGTAACTCAGAGTAATCTGAAATACTTTACGCATTAAGTAACGAATCAGACTTGATATTTGAGTATTCACGGCACCACCGGCCACGTGAACTAAAGCACCAATGATCTCGAAGAGCTTAACCAGAGCAGGATAGCAAACCCAAGTAAAATGAACTGATGCCCAACAGGAAGTGGATGGAACCAGGTCTCATTTTCACACACAGAAGTCAAATACTTTGACATGACATTACCTTACTAAATGCTACAGAGAAACAAAAATGAAGATAAACCACAGCGACTACAAAATGACACTGACCAGACAGACATAGCATTAGTCATAAGTGCACAGTCTTGCTCCAAGATTGTCCTGTTGATCTGACTTATCTGCTTTTAATAGGATTATTAAGATTAACGTTTAGATTAAGGACATAAGTTAGAGATAAGGCTAAATGTAGAGTCAGGAGATTGATAATAGTTAGGGGTTAGGACCAGGTTATGATAAAGACCACAGCTTAGGATAAGGCATTATCGTCCTGCTAAGGAGTCTAAAAATTCGTCAGAAAATCTAAGGTCTTATAGTCCTTTATTCGGACTTCCTCTAGATAGTTTGGTGGCTGTTCTAATTTATCTTCACCACGAGATATTATGAACAATGTTAATTAAAGATGGGGAATTAAAAGGATGATAATAAACCAAACACAAACATACCAATGAACCTAGGATATAAATCTACTGCAACCGCTTATTGTAGAAACCACGACTAAAATACTGTCATATCTTTCCACATCTCCTTAAGATCGTTGCGGAGACAACAATAAAGTCAAAAAGACAAGCAAACAGTTTCACAAGTGCGCAAAAGATATGGATATGTATATTACGTGAACTTACGGACATTGGGTTGTGATGTCTCTAGTTTCCCATGAGTATCTTCGGGTATAAGCCTTGGGTTGAAGGCCATTAATAGCAGAAACGATATAAAAATAAGTTGAATGACAATTTGTGCTATTCCAAATATTATGGTTCCTGTTCTAACATGCAGACATAGACAACAGCTGAACTGCTGCCTAGGATCGCTCACAAGGAGAGCAGAAGCTCGCGGCATTTTATGAAGTTGACTGAACAAAAGCAAGCGAATAGGCTGATTTAGAATAGATGCAAACGAGATTACAAAACAGATATTAAACAATAGAAATACAACAATTTTTAAACAATATTGCGAAAAGTACACTAGGAACAGAAATCCTACTGCAAACCAACCGCTAGAATCTCATAAATGAATAATTGTGTGACTCATTAAAACAATCACCTTGAGCAGTTGGGAATGAGATAGACCTTTTTGTCTAAAATGTGAATCCACTTCCCTATATCATAAGCTTGAGTACAAAAGGAAGAAAATGCCATCAAATTTAAGAATTATTCCTTTGGTATTCTCTAGTATACGGTAAAATGTCAAATCATGGAGGAGGCTGTTCAAATTTTTGAAGTGAATGTTATCTGCAGTCATTTAACTTCCGTTAAGATGACGAAACCAAAGTCCACCGGCAAACTCATTTTATCAAGAGTAATTTGTCATCTGAATGATTATCGAAATATTTTGCCTTTCTCCATAACAGTCTTAGCGAAACCAGCCTAAATTGTTTACGAAACGAGTGGAAAACTTCTGTATCTTATATGTCTGCTTGACAAAGCACTCAGCACCCCTATCAAATGGTGGTAAAGTTTTCGCTGGGGGTGAATCAAAAATAGATGAAGTGTAGAGATTATTACTTGCGGGCTTGTGACTCAAAATTAATTTCTGAATTCTAAAATCTTTCTGAGGGAATTTAACGGTACTGTAAACAGCAGTACATCCAGCTCCTAGCATCGGTTGCTTCCTATATATGGCACTTAGCCCATTCTCACTTCGTTGTTTTATTTGTTTTATCATTGTTTCTTTGCGCGGAAGGCTTTGTTTGAACGGTTGAGCTTGCGTCGACCCTTAGGTAATAGTAGTGTATCATAACATTTTATCCGAAAGAGAAGTAACCACAATGATTTTCAGACGCTGATAAACGTAAATCTTTCTTTTCTCACCTTCCGGGCTTTTAAGCTGCCCACTCACTCCACTAACACGGGTGCCCATTTTGAGTTGCATGTTGTCTACCCGCTAGAGATTAATTTGGATTCAGTTATCTATACGTCATCCGAAGATATTGCTAAGGATGTGTTGGACGTCTTACGAGCTCCAACGGCAAGCACTTACGGTGGTCTCAGAGCTACCCTTTGGGGGGCAGGTGACATCTACTGACCAACACGCAGAGGAGCTATTCAGGGATAGGCTCCTTAGCGACAGCAAAGATACCTGGATCCTCCTTCAGATAAAGCGGATGGTCTCAGGCCTCAAGACTGGTAACACATTTCTTGGAAAACTGTGATCGCATATACATAAAGAATCACTGCGACCGTGCATAGCTCCCTCGTATTAAAACTGTTGGAAGGTGATAACAGAGCACTAGACTTTATCGAGCCGTGCACGAACATTTCAGCAGTCATATCTACGAATGCCGGCTGATATTAAATTTCTTATCCCCTCTCAACAAGTCAGCCGTCAAGTTGTCATTTTGTCGCTTACAACTTTAAACTCTGCGATAAGCTGTGAGAGTTTGCCAGCTTTCCGGCAACCACAGATCTGAAGTACTTACTGTAAATCGGCGCTCCAGACAGCCATAAGTTCACCCTGGCTGTGTCAGCACCGTAGATGTAACGCTGCCAATGCCGAATGATGCATTCTACTCTATTTCATCGACGCTAAACAGCCACTTGTCAATACACCAGAACAACCAACGTTGCCAGTGAACCGTCATGTGTTGCGTCTGCAGATGGTCAAGACAGGTCCCCACTATCCAACCAGTTTTTTTCATCACAAGTAGAGCTCGCACCTTGGCATTCTAGATCTCCTGTTATTTCTGTGGTATTTCAGTGGCATCTGCGGCATCTCTGAACACAGTAGACATTTTCTACTTGCTGATGACATTTACGCATTGTACAATTAATCCAAAAAACCCTTGAAAAAATGAAGAAAGTTTGTCTCTCTTCTACTGTTTGAATTCAGTAGCTCTAAAAATGCCAAAACGTTCGCATTGTCCCACAAACAGTATGACCCTTGAAACCACTTGACTATACCAATGAAAAAGTATTGATTTATAATACTTCATGACTCTTGCACTTCTTCAAAACACCCGTTTATAAGAAAATATAAACTATCACCATTATTAGTCTACATTGAGTACAATTCACTTGTGATGTTACGATGAAAATGCTGACAAAACTATACAAGTTTATCAATTCTTTTAAATTATTACCAAATTTGGATATAAATCAAGATTAAGACTCGATGCCGTACACACCAAAGTTATATGGGGGAATTACTTCAAGCTTTATTTTTTTCCCAAGTATTTGTAATCCATCCGAAACATACTTGGGTTTTTTAATGCGAAGACGATATTTCTATATTTCTTGATGTGCTCCATTGAATGACTAGTTATCATATTGTTTCCACAAACCAAAGACAAAAACGACTGCAACCATATAAATTAACCATGAACCAAATTTATGTAATTTAAATAATACTTATCCATGCCTGTACAATTGGTGTGTCCTACACAGGTAGGAAAAAATATGTATTTTATTAAATTATTATTATTAAATATGCTTACTTATCGTATGTGTAATTTATCGAATTGATGATGCCTGTAAACTGGCGTCCCTCGTGTACAGAATGAGAATATATTATTATTATATTAATGAGTCTAAGCGTTGTAGTGTTCTAATAACTGAGGCGTTTTAGAAATCAGTGGTGCAGTCTGGTTATGACAGTCATTGAGATGAAACAGTTTATATAGCAAGCATTTGAAGGTTATAATAGAGTGACAGGTCCTTATTTCTAGGGGTAAACTGTTCCATATCTTAGAGTACATGACTATGAAGAAGTTTGCTCGGAGTGCTATTCTACAGCTTTTCCTAGATGCTGTGCAGATTTGGTTATGCAGATTGTAGGAGCCTTCCGGTGAGAACTGTATCTCCTTGCTGTCTGAGAATGATATTTTATGCAGGGCTTTAAAGAAGGATGTTACTTTAATGCTGAGTCGTCTCATTCATAGATATTGTAGGACCTTTACAACACGGTATTATATGGCCATTCATATATAAGTGATTGAGGGACTCATAAGGATGGAACGAGCTGTCAAGTAGGACCTAAATCTTCTTTATAATTTTTGAGGCTTTTTATCTGCTGAATCATGTATGTTCTTCTATTTGTTTGAATAGGTATACCCTCCTTCATTTGCACTCTGCCGTGCTTTTGAAAATTAAAGTCGTTGGTCGGTAATTTGTGTAACCATTTTGACAGAAAAATCAGTTTCTTAAAAATCACTGATTAATGACAGTAGGATAAGTATCCTCAACCTAATATTAGGAGGAGGAATAATTAGGAAAACTTGTAGATGCGTAACATTTTCAGCTACTGCTTTGCCAGCTGTTTTATTAATTGAGATAAAATAAGTAGCGTTAATGACCTGACATCAAAAGACCACTTGCTGAGTAATACGGCATTCATATGAAAGAATTTCGATTGCTCCGGAACTCATATAATGCTGGTCCTGAGGGGATTCCATTTGTTCTGCTGAAAACAAGTAGCGAGGACATGCCCATTATCCAACTGAAATTCCTCAGCATGCTCAAGTTTGTTCACCGAATAATGCGTTTCGAGGTCACTTTCATCCATGTTAGTCGGTCATGTTGCTAACCGTTCTCTTTGTACAGCGGATTCATATTTTTCCCGCAGTTATTTGTAAATAATGCTTACTTTGAGTACTCATCAGTGTAGCAGTTAGCAAAAATAACTCCTTGGTTTGTTGCTTAGAGTTAGTGGCTTTCTCGAAGTTACAAATATTGGAAGGTTCAACGTTATTCGAGATAAAAACGCCCGCAAAATAAAAATTACAGAAGTGTTGCATAATGGGTATTCCGGGCTATACCAAGTATGCATTTCTTTCAGTAATGTCTCTGCTGCATGAGCGTCTGTTGCTTTTCGTATATTTGTAATTTCTTGGTGCGTTTACTAATTTGACTATGATTACAGGATGTGAGTAATCGTCAGTAATACCATTAAATTTTCCTGCACCCATGGCCTCTCCTTTTCTGGTCCTAACTGACGAAACATTTGTTGACATTATAGGGTAAATGGATGATAACGTTGCGTCCTATAGCCCAAAAACGTAGGCAGTTTAGTCTTAATCAATGTGACGCGTCTAATAGTATAACACTGTGGATATGGCTCTCTCCTCATGTAACACTACATCTAGAAGTCAGAAGTACACTTTCCTCGGTAGATTTATTTTTACCTTTTAGGTGACTGGATGATGAGTAGGTAGGGTGTTGTGACAGCGGGATAGATAACTCCAAGCGCTTTCTTGAGAACGTGAACATATTTGCTTTTCCTGATAAAATGATATTCTTTCTATCGAAAAGGTTCTCGGGTTATCCACTTTAACTTACTAATTCAGAGATGATATTAAGCCCTCACTAATGTAGTGAGTACTGATTTTGGCTGAATCACCCGTGTCAGTCAAGTGCTTAGTGACTGTATTTCCAAACACTTCCTTGCCTTTTATGTGTAGATCTTTGGGGTGTGTTGTCGGAGAATATTCAGTGAACATTTCTTGTTATACAGGGAGATCAGTCTAACAGCTGGTAGTGTCCTTTTCAATGTACGTTTGGTTTTTCTCCGTTATTGCTGATGTTGTACACCGGAAAGGTGTTCTTCCATCGGCTGTTACGAGTTTCACTCAGGAAACTTCTCTTCCGTATTACATCATCAACTTCAGAAATTCATTATATAGTAGATTCGTCTCAATAAACGCGTGTTTCTTTATCAAAATAATTCTCCGAACTTAAGCATCTCTGTCTAGTGAACACCGTTCCAACAGAACTCCGTTTTTAACTGACTCAGTCAAAACTGCGATGATCCAATACTGAACCATCTGCACTTCTTTTTTAAATATTGTTCATTGTAATAATTACACTGTGACGACAGAAGACAAGGGCCAGGTAGGAGATCGTTTATCGAGGAAATCAACAGATATTTATATATTTTATGTACATAATTATAGGTAATTGTTGGCAGACAGAGTTTTCTCACTGAAAGTTAATCTGTCATCCTTGTGGCCGTTTCTTTGAAGGTCAGATCATCTGTCTGCGAATTATATCCGCCCACGCAGAGTCTTTGTTCTTGTTTTTTTCTCATGACCAAGATTT